TGGTTGTACAGGCTGCTGCTGTGTCCCCTATGGCCGCGATTGTGTCCCCAAGCCCTGGTTTACAGCCCTCCTGTCCCAGGTCTGGGCGCCCTGTTCAGCAGAGCAGGCTGTGGCCAGGACGACTTCGCGGCTGCCCGTAGGAAGCGAGCAATGAATGGGCTCTCAGATCTCCCAGCCTGCCAGCTGCCAAAGGACAAACGATGGAGCCCCACGGTCTCCTTTCCTGCTCGTATCCATATTGTGCCGCCTTTCCTTTGGGTTGCCTGGCCCATGGGAGATAATCCAGGAGAGATGATGCCCAGAGCGGGTGGACGGGGCACGGGAGCCTGTGTCCAGCACTGGCCATAAGAGGGGGGCGTGGAAAGAGTCGAACAGGGCACGCAGGTGGCTTACCTTCCTCCGAATTTTTGTGCTCAGCTCAGGGCCTTCCTAACCTGCCGTGGTGCCTACACAGGGAGTAACCTCAGCAATCACTCCCGCACACTGCGCAGTCCCCGCTGGAACCCAAACAAGCTGCTGGAATCCTTGACTGCCTTTGGTGGCGAGGACCATTGTCTGACACAGGAAAGCCGCAGGCTGCGTGTCCTCTGCCCAGCCAGGATGTCACCCCAAGCCCATCCTTGTCTGGGGGAGGTGGGCCCCTCTCCTCCGCAGCTCCTTCCCAGGTCCTCGAGCGTTGCTGGTCCTGGCACCAGTTCTGCTGGAGGGTTTCAGCTGCCAGCCCTGCCAGGGTTCTTGTCCCTGCAGGTGACATCACCATGGAAGGGCTGGACAAGGACCGTCAGCTGCAGACGGGCGAGATCATCATCATCGTGGCAGTGCTGCTCATGTGGGCGGGTGAGTGCCGCGAGCAGCGTTCTGACAGGCTGGGGCAGAGACGGGACCCGGGGTCCACAAAGAGAAGGGGGCTCAAGAGACTGCAGGGGAATATTGGTATGGGTCTGGCATCCTTTCCAGTGAGTCCGTTGAGTCTCTGTAGCAGCTCAAGCCAGTGGGGTAAAAGGAGGAACCACAGCCGGGGCTCAGCAGGGATGGCCTGGAGCGTGCGGGCGAGCTGGCTGCTCAGGAGACGCTGTGGGACCCCAGCAGGACAGAACTGCAGGGTGGTAGCATCCCAGCTGACATTAACCATCATGTAACTTGGGCCTGAGCTAGCTCGTCCAACATCCGATAACCCTGCGGCACTGACTGGCAGTGGCTACGCCTCCGTCTGCAAACACCATTAGGATGGGTGACGTGCTCCCCTGCAGCGCCTGGTTAAAGGCAGTGCTCCAGCAAACAGCCCCGAGAGCCAGGAAGCCCAGGAGATAACAGTCAGCTCCTGGCTGGTCACATGCAGCTGCTGTCAGTGGGAAGTCATTTGTCCTCTCATCCCTTCCCAGTAAATGTGGATTTTCTAGTGGCATCTTCAGGAATCTCTCCTTGTCCTGGCCTTGAACGCTTTGCTAGTGCACTGGAAGAAAATAGGAGCTGTCTGCTGCTAGCTCGCACCTCGTACAGGTTGGTGTGTCAGTGCCAGCAGGGAGGGATCTGGTCCAAGACGTGGTTACAGTTCAAAGCATTGCTCTGGAGTCCCGTGTCCAGGGTCCCGAGGTGTGGGACACATGAGATGGGTGCTGTAAAGCCATGATGGGGTGACTGACCCCACCGTCGGTTTGCAGGACAGGACAAAGCCCAGGACAGAGACCCACGCAGCTGCTCACTGACCTCAGGGGCTGCCCCTCTCTGAGTGCCTCAGCATCTGCCTTCGGCCTCAGAGCCCCGAGCCATCAGTACCGAGCACCTTACGTGTGCCCTGACGGCTTTAGCCATGTGTGTGCCTTGTCTGTGCAGGGACACTGTCCTGGCATGCTGCGGAGGTGCCTGGGGTGGTCCTGGCTGACGCTGGTGGAGGGGGTGACTGCCCCCCAGCTGGGATGCTGCGGGGAGAGGACGTGGGTGGGCAGCTGGTGTGAGGGGTCCTTCATCCCCTGTCTTTTGGCAGCGGTCATCGCCCTCTTCTGCAGACAGTACGACATCATCAAGGACAACGACTCCAACAACAACAAGGAGAAGACGAAGCCGTCCTCAGAGCACAGCACGCCCGAGCGACCGAGCGGAGGGCTGCTGCGGAGCAA